ATTCTTAGGTACTTCTAGCACTGGTGCTCAGCTATTATGTACCAGTTCAGTGATACTGGTTGTTAAAATGTTGAAATACATGCAAGCTGGTTGGTAAATAGCTGCTACCCTGAGCCCCCGACTGTCTCTTTGCTTCTCCTAACCCTAGCCCTTGGACCTCCCCATGATCCACCAACTAAAAGGGAGCTCCTGGGTCAGTGGAGGGCCCCTAGGACTCTGCTCCAGTACTATGGCTCATGTCAGATTTCACTGAGCCATGTTTATGCAATAAGAGGTATTAAATATTCCGACTGTTGCTCCTGAGTATGCATACTTATTTAAATTTTCATTTCCTATTTCTTAAGATTTCAGTTTTGTGGTCTCATAATTATCAGTACCTAAGAAGATACATTCCTATTGGAAAACAGCATAAAAGTAAATCCATTTGTTTCTGGAAATAGATTTAATTTGGGCTACTATGTAGAATGAGGTCTGTGATACCAGTCTTATAATGGTAACATTTTTGTAAGTATTATAGTTTTCTAATGATAAAGATAATAGTCTTCATTGTAATAGACTAGAATATACAGGAAAGTATAAAGATGTAAACTAAAATCACTATAAACTCGCTGTTCAGAAATAAGCACTATTAACATTTGATTTTATTTCTTCTGGTCCATTTCCTATGTAATATTTTTTACAGTATTTTTTCTTTTGTAATTTTTGTTTTAAAAACTACATTTGGAATTTTATTGTATTTTGTTTATATTCTATATTTTATGCTAATGTCATATTTAACCTACTATTAATTATTCTTTATACATTCTGCCAATCTGCCTGTTACAAGAGTTCTATTCATTTACATTAGATAAGAAAGGACTGACTTCTGCCATTTTGCTATTTGTTTTTTATGTCGTCTTTTTTGTTTCTCGGTTCTTCTATTAATGGTTTCATTTGTAACTAAACAGATATTTTCTAGTACTCTTTTAATTCTCTTGTTGTTTCTTATATGTATATATATTTTAGTTATTTTCTTAATGGTAGTTTTGCTGGATATTACAATTAATGTCTTAATTTATAACAATCTAGTTCACATTAATGCCAACTTAATTTCAATAGTATACAAATTTTGGCTCTCATACAGTTCTATTACTCACTCCCTTTATGCTGTTATTGTCACAAATTATGTCATTATACATTGTGTGCCCATCTACATAGATTTATAATTATTACTTTATGTAATGGTCTTTTAAATCAGATAAAAGAAGAATTATAAACAAAAAATTACATTAATACTATCTTTTATATTTACCTATGGAGTTGCCTTTTACCACTGTTCTTTATTCCTGTATATGAATTTGAGTTACTGTCTAGTATCTTTTCATTTCAGCCTAAAGGATTTCTTACAGGGCAGATCTGCTAGCAACAAATTCAATTTCTCTTTATCTGTGAATATCTTAATTTGCCTTCATTTTCAAAAGCTAGCTTTGCCAATTGTAGAATTCTTGTTTCACAGCTTTTTCGTCTTTCAGTACTTTGAATATGTCATCCCACTGCCTTCTGGCCTCCATGATTTCTGTTGAGAAATTTGCTGTTAATCTTATTGTAAATATTATTTTAAAATATCATTTTAAATGGCTAAATTGTCATTATATAGATATATCATAATTTATTTAACTACTTCTCTATGTTGTTCTAATTTTTATAAAAGCTTATAAATAAAGACATATTTGAAGTACTCCTTTTTCTGTGTTTCTCCTACCATGACCTTCGCATGCCGGGTGCAGATCTAAGTTATGATCAATAATAAACAAGTCGGGATGAAATTAATTGGTAGAGAGAAAAAAATGGTGATTGACTGTTAGGAAAGCCTCATGTGAGAGAGGCTCAAATATTCCAGGTATTTTGGAGCTCTGGGCATCATAATCTGGGTAAGTTGCAGTCTGTATTTAAACATCCTCCTCCTCCTATCCTCCTCCTCCTATCCTTGTACCTGTAAAATGACTAATAGAACTTTGGCCACTTTTAAATGGCTGGGGGAAGGGAGGGCGCTGTGATAAAGGACTCACGCTCACCCTCTTGTCTACATTTAGGCTGATGCCTGACTTTCTTTTTTTTTCTTTTTCTTTCTTTGGGAACAGCTTTATTGAGATATAATTCACATACTATACAATTCACTCATTTCAAGTGTACAATCCAATGATATATTAGTATATTCACAAGGTTATGCAATTATTACCACGGTTGATTTTAGAACATTTTATCACCTTAAAGAGAAACTTCTTATCCTTTAGGAGTAATCTTCCATCTCTTTCCTCTACTAGGCAACCACTAATCTGCTTTCTGTCTCTATGAATCTCTCTATTCCATACATTTCATATAAATGGAATTATACAATATGTTGCCATGACTGGCTTCCTTCACTTAGCATGTTTTCAAGATTCATGGATGTTGTAGCATGTATCAGTACTTCATTTCTTTCTGTGGCTGAATAAAATTCCCCTATATGGATATACCATATGTTGTTTATTCATTCATCAGTTGATAGACATTTGTGTTTTTTCTAATTTCTTGGCTTTTAGGAACAATGATGCTATGAAAAGTTGTATAAAATTTTTTTTGTGGGCATATTTTTATTTCTGCTGGGTCATATGGTAACTCTATGTTTAACCTTTGAGGAACTGCCAAATTATTTTCCAATTTTTATATTCTCACCAGCAATGTATGAAGATTTGTATTCTTTACATCATCTCTAATGCTTGTTATTGTCTATCTTTTTTTATTATAGCCATCCTAGTGGGTGTGAAGTAGTCTCTTGTGGTTTTGATTTGAATTTTCCTGATGGCTAATGATATTGAGCATCTTTTCGTGTGCTTATTGACCATTTGTATTTCTTCTTTGGAGAAGCATCTATCCTTCACACATTTTTAATTAGATTATTTGTCTTTTTATTATGGAGTAGTAAAATTTCTTTATATATTCTAGATACACAATTAACAAATATTTTCTCCCATTCTTGGCTTGTCTTTTTACTTTCCTGGATGCCCAGCTTTCAGGGCTCGAGAGAGCTGTTTGTGGAGGCTCTTATTTTTGTTGACTGAGACAAGTCATAATAGAGTCAGGAAAAAAATGTTTAAGAAGCTAGGGATGTGTTTCAACATAAAGAATTGGGGACAGCACAGCTCTTTCTATACTGTTAATTAAATGAGAGGGTGTGCACTAATTTGTCCTATGGAAATTCTTGCTGAACTCTCTGAAACAATGTTTTTGAGAGTTTGGCAGATCTCAGGGATTGCTTGCCTTGACTCTGCATCACATCTCATTCTAATGACCCTCATGTCCTCAAACTTTGATAGGCTCAAATTGGCTTACCAGAAGTCACAATAGGAATTCTTCCTGGTGCAAGAGGAACCCAGCTTCTCCCCAGACTGATTGGAGTTCCTGCTGCACTTGACTTAATTACCTCCGGTCAGTACAAACCCTGCTAACAACTATCTAGATCAATGTGAGGAACTGGACTAGGAATTAGAAAAATCCTGGTTTGACCATTTCCTACTTGTGTGATTTTAAGAGCATACTTTAATTTCTTTGACTGTCAACATTCTCCTCTGTAAAATAGAAAGAGTACCTTCCCTGAGAGCTCAAATGTTACCATGAAGAGTGCCTTCTAAATGAAAGTGTATACAAAATGCTAATCACATTTAGGGTTTTATTATAGTTCAAGTGTCTACTCATGGACAGTGGTGTCCTAGACATGGTAATAACTTCATAAGTTTCAGCTTTATATTATTATTCCCATAACTGTTTCTATAGAAAATTAATAAGTAAATAGATTTGGATTAAATTAATAAGAAAATAGCTAACATTTTCTGCTCTTCTAAAATCTATAAGAGAAGTAATTCTGGAAAGTGAAGGGATAATAGCATCAACTACTGCTTCTACACAGTTCCCTTAAAGTGTCACCTGAAAACAACTGAATCTTTAGCAGTAACCACAAAAGATATACTTGAGCACATTGCAGTTCATTTCCTGATGTACTGTGTTCAGTCAGGTGACAAGTGCCCTGCCCTTCTGGCTACTTTTACCTTCTAGGGCCCGTCCTCCTTGTTCACTGAACAGCACAGAGAGCCTCTGCTCTGTTCTCTTAGAGCTGCCCTAATAAAATTCCTTGTGATCATTCATGGGAAAGGGATGCCCCCAAACTCTAGACTTTGAATATAAATGTGAGTCTGCTGAAACAGGTTAAAGAAAACAAAACTTTTAGAAAATTCACATTATTCTAAATTAGAAAAGAAAAATGTTTATTTATTAAATAAAAACACCTTGTTTAAAATCAAAACATTAGCCAAAATTATTTATTTTTGAAGCAATAAAAAGAAAATGCAATAGATAACAGACAACTGAATCAGCAAAATGGAGGACAGAAATACATTTATAGAATTCAGAAGAACTTAACAAAAAGGTAAAGTGTAAATGAAGGCAGCTAACATAGAAGGTATATAATAGAGGTCTCTGCTATGAATAATAAGAGCCTCCCAAAGTATGAAGCAAAGAGGTGAGAAGTAAAAAAGGAAAAAATAAAAGAAACTCTTCAATTAGGAACTAGAATCAGAGACTGTATTTTAGGAAACACATCATTTTACTGGGAAAACTAGTGAGCTCCCGGTGCCCTGATGTAGTTTGTTAAAGATTTTAAATTTGTAGGTAACAATCTCGCAAGCTTCCAAAGGATAAAAACAAAATGCAACAAAAGGCTACTTTCATAATAACTAAAATCACTCCAGCCACAAATAAATCTTTAATGCACGGAACATTCATATACTAAGATTCTAAATAATCTTTAAAATGATCATCTAAATCAGGAGTTCTTATAGTGTGATTCAAGGACTGCTGGGTATGCCTAAGACCACTATGAAGTCAGAACTATTTTCATAATAATAGGACATTAATTGCCTTTTCCAGTCTCATTCTCTCACAAGTATACAGTGGAATTTTCCAGAGGTTATTTTATGACATGTGCTATCAGAACAAATTGAATGCAGAAGCAGATATGAGAATCCATCTGTCTTCTATTCATCCTAACATGAAGAAATTTGCAAAAATATAAAATAATGACACTCTTCTCACTAAATTTTTTAAAATTTGAACATATAGTTATTTTGCATTAAAATTTATTTATGTTAACATGTAATTGGTTTATCATGTTGTTTTAAAGTGATTTAATAAAGAAACATTTTTAAAGTTCTCAGTTTTAATTTCTAATACAGTAAATATTGATAGAAATAGCCCACATAAACAAAAGCTCTTTGGGGTCCTCCATAATTTTTAAGAATGCAAAGGGATCCTAAGACTAAAAAGTTTGAGAACTGTTAATTGAAATTCATATGTTTTGACATAGAAACCACCATACAAAACTGTATACATAAACCAAATTCCTTCTCCTGTAATAAAGGGGAGTTAGAAAAACTAAAAGTATTACATTTCTTGTCACCAATAAATTAAATTATAAATTGTTATAATTTAAGAATATAAACTATTTTAAGTATCTAATGTAGGATGTATAAGAGGATGCCTACAATTGAACTTACTACAGAAATTCAAAGCTCAGGAGACAGTTTATTCTGCAAAAGACAAAATAGAAAGGAAGCAGAGAAGCATAAGATATAGGGGGAAATCATAATACAGTTGACCTTTGAACAACATCGGGGTTAGGGGCACCCACTTCCACACAGTCAAACATCCATGTATAACTTGACTCCCCCCAAACTTAACTACTAATAGCCTACTGTTGACCAAAGCCTTACCAATAATGTAAACAGTCGAGTAACACATATTTTGTACCAAAAATCTATTGTATACAGTTTTCTTACAATAAAGTACACTAGAGAAAAGAAAATAAGAGAAAATGCATTTACAGTACTGTACATATTTATTGAAAAAAAAATTCATGTATAAGTGGACCCACGCAGTTCAAACCCATGTTGTTAAGGGTCAACTATAGTGTGAAATGAGCCTTTAAATTCTAAGATTTACAGAAATTAAAGCATGTGGGCGAACATTGAGGAATCTCGTGGCTCTTTTCAATATTAAGTCTGAAAGGCAAGAATATCTTGGGGGACATCAAGAAGAAATCTGGCTTCTTAACAAAAGTAAGTCAACTAGAATTGGCCCTTTCCAAAACACTGCTGCTTATAGAAATACCACTATTTTTAACCTGATGAAGAGAAGTAAAAACAGTAAGAATATGATGGCTTTTGATTTGCATGAAAAAAAACACAGTGAATTAGAAGAAAGCTAACATTGGAATCGTACACCTATCTTTTTAAGTAGTCTGTACAATTTTAGGGGACTTTAAAATGACATCTGGAAAGGGTTCCATGTAGAAAATTTTTTCTAACGGTTGGAAAAGAAAGCCATGAAGAAAATTGGAAAAGAATGAGATTACCCAGCGTGGAGAAGTCTGAGTGAGCTTCAGTTGCCCCGGGGTTTCCTTGTAGTTGCTCTAGGCAGGGCTCTTACTAGAGTCCCGTGGACAGCGGTTGTCGGCTACACTGAGGGCAGCACAAGAAAAAACAAGCTGAAATTTTAGCATGAAGATTTGGGTTACATATACAGAGCCAGGTCTTTAGGTCCCTCGCATGGAATAAAAGTACCTGGTACCTCATTGACTCTGTAAGAATACTAACCCATCCTGTGGGTAGCTCATGTTTCCTCTGGTTGATTGACTCAAAGATCCTTTCAGTACCCAGAGTTCCATCTTCCAATTTTTGTCTACTTGGTCACCTTCACCTGGGGAGGCTGATTCACTCACCTCTTGCCCATTTGTAGCTCTTTGAAGCACTAATAAGAACCAGAAATGGAGGGTCTGTCACAGGGATGGCATCCACCATCACTTCTATAAGAGCATCAAAGACTGTGGAATTGTTGCCACCAACACTGATTTGATCATCACTTTGCAGGAGGTGAGATGGTATTGGCAAGAAAGCAAGTAATGTGTCAAACTTCTGAAACCCCCTAGCGCTGCCATTCTAATACCGGAGGTTGCCAGAGCCACTACGGCACACTAGATGCTTCTGGTACCACCATCACCAGATCAGAAGTTGCCACCCGAGAAGTGAGATTTAAGCTGCTGCTGCTTACTGTCACTAACTCCAGACTGAAAAGCCTTAATAGAGCACTCCAAATTGTAATCCTGAAGTTTTTCTTGGTCACGCAAATAGTAAAAGGTAGAGCTAGAGCTCGAACCCAGATTTTCTGCTTACCTCTGCAGTGATCTTTTTATTACAACATTCAGTGTGGTGCTTATTTATTTTCTTTAACAATAGATGTTTATATCTAGAAAAGGTACCCTCCCTACTATAAAGACTAATGCTTTTGCTTTAATCTCACATCATTCTTTGCCTTGTTTTGTTTTAGGAAGACTTATTTTGGCAGATAAAGCATTCAAGCTGGGGATTCTAGATGAAGTTGTGAACTCAGACCCAGTTGAAGAAGCAATCAAATTAGTCCAGAGAGTTTTAGGTAAGAAGATAATAAAAATAGCTCAAGATTGCAAACAAGTTAAATATCCATCTTAGTAAGAAACTCCTTAAATATCTTATGGTACATCCATAAGAGTGATGCAAGATGATACAGTTTTAATATGAATGAGAAACTATGTATTGATATAGCATGAGAGCCATGATATATTGTATTATTAAGTGAAAAAAACATCATTGTGTATAGTGGTTTACCATTTGTATAGTAAGGAAAGGGGGACAGAATTGAATGTCTGTATGGGGAGAATATATATATGTAACTGTATATAAAATATTTCTGTGAGGATTCATAAGAAATGGTTCATGGTGGTCTCTGGGAATGGGGCTGGTCAGTCAGGGGTGCAGCTGGAAGAATTCATTGTTTACTCTTCTGTACCTTTTAAATTCTTATTGAATGAATGAATTATCTATTAAGAAATAGAATTAAAGTTAAAACAAGCAAATAAACATTTCAGCAAAGAGAAGACAGGCTCTGTAATTTACTACAGTAGAGCCATGGTTCTGTCAGTGAGCTATATTCTCTCTTTCACTGGTTTCTCATTTTATAGATCCATGACATTCCTGTAAGAGTTCTTCAAAGTGGCACTCCTAGAGGCTTTCTTTTTCTTTTTTCTTTGTTGACTTTCTTTTGAATTTATGGAAGTTGGCAGCACAATGGAGATGGTTAAAGAGTGTCAGAAAAAATAATTGTAAGGAGTGCTGAGTTATAGGCAGAGCAGGGTGTTCACCTCCGGGCTTAGTGGTAGACAATGGCTCAGTGTCATTTAAAGACATTCTTTTGAAAAAGTTATTCTTTTGTTGACTCTGGCAGGGACCAAACACTTCTGAAATAATCTTTCTTTTTGTGGCTCTAGCTAGTTACTGTTTCAGTGCAATAGTAAAAGCTTGTATTGGAGAGGTCAGGAACTGTAGGGAGAAAATACTGGTGACTGATAAAGAGAATCAGCAGGTCTTTGCTCCAAATAGGAATGAGTTTCCTGCTTTTTCTGCCTTCCAGACAACCTTCACCAGGTTTTCATCACTGGTTTCATTGTACCTCATGAGAGGGCTTATTTGTTTTGTGAGAAATCACCTGATTGGCCAACAGCAAAGGCTATTTACATTTGGAGGTCCCTAAATAATTTTTGGTTTGGGGCTTAAACAGACCTATGTCTATTATTTATATTCGTGGTTTTAGTTTGTAAAAGACGTGATTTTAACAGGAAGTTCTTTTTCTTAACTGATTTCCCTAGATTTGGCTTTGAGAGTTACTTCAAGAGTTGGTGAGAATCATTGGCCAGTACATTTATAAAATTGTCTGTTTTCATCTTTAAAATTTATTTAATTTTAAAAATTAATTTAAATTGAAAATTTAAACTTATATTTTTAATTTATAAAAATGCTACTCAATTTCAGCAACATTGCATAGTTTGTCCACTTGGTGGCATTCAAATATTGAGGAAGAATCAGCTGCTTTAAAACTTGGTAATTTACCTGTTAACAGTAGGGAGGTAATTCTGTGCTTTGGACAATTATATATAACTATTTTAAATTAGTCATGAAGACTATGTAGAAATATGCAAAATTATTTGTATATAAAAATGTCTAAAATATAAATGTACATATATTGTTTAATTATAGCTACATAGAATATGTATAAATACAGACAAAAATTTAAAAGAAATATGCAAAAATAAAAAAACAAGTAAGTTTTACCCCAAAATTTTATAAATGATCTTTGCTTTTGTTTTGATTTTTTCCAGCTTTATTGAGGTATAATTTACATACCAAAATATCACCCATTTTAACTGCACGGACTGATGAATTTTTGTAATTGTTTATGGTTGTGTAGCCACTGTCACAATCAAGATATAGTTCTGTCACCCCCAAAAGTATTTCATGCCTCTTTCCAGTAGATTCCCTCTCCTGCCCCTTGGCCGCAGACACTGACCTGTTTTCTGTTATAGTTTTGTCTTTTTAGAATTTCATATAGATGGACTCACATATATAGTATGTAGTCTTTTGTACTTGACTTCTTTCACTTAGCATAATGTTTTTGAGATTCATCCATATTGCCTCATGTATTAATATTTTATTCTTTTTTTAAATGAATGAATAGTAATCCATAGAATGGATATATCACAATTTGTTTGTCCATTTATCAGATGATGCACATTTAGGTTATTTGCACTTAGAGCTTACACAAGTCTTTGTAGACATATTTACCTTTCTCTTGGGTAAATACCTAAGAGTAATATTACTCGGTCTTATGGGAAGGGTATGCTTAATTCTTAAATGCTTTTTAAGCTTGGTGATTAATGAAAAAAACATTAGTGCTTTGAAAGACACTAATTTTTGTCAAACAAATTTTGAAAAAGATAGGAAAATAATATGACGAGACTGAATTTAACTAAGCTCCTATTACACTGTAGGTAGTGTATCCCGTTAGAGGGCAGATGGGCAATCATGTATTGAAGCTTATTCATACCTTTGACTTAGTGTTTCTTTTCTTAGGAGTTTTTCATAGAGGAAGAGTCACAGAAGTACCCAAAGACTTGTGTACAGTGATACCCACTGAAACTTTATTTATCATTGTAAAATATTGGAAACACTTCACATACCTAATTGTAGGGGATTAGTTGCATAAAAGATGATAGATGTCAATGAAGCAATCCCATTCTGCCAAGAAAAATTTCCATTTTTTAATAAAGTCAAAGAACTTGGAAAAATGCTTACATGTAATATTTAAGTAGAAAACAGCCAGATAGCAAGTTGCACAAATGTGTGTACGTGTGTATATGTCTTCATATGCATAGCTACATAAGGAAAAAAAAACTTTTAACAGAGGTTATATTTGGGTGGTAGATAATGAAGATTCTTGATTTTTTTAAAATAAAAAATGTTTATCTTTCCCTTTTTATCTCAGTCATTAAGTTTATTCAAAGGAAAAAGGGATGCCTGGTCAGTGTGGAAGAGGTACGGTCTAGTAGAAAAAAGGGCTCAGACTGGAAGTCAGGAGACTTGGGTTCTAGTCACAGCCTTAGCTATATGGACCTTAACAAATCAGCTTTTTGAGCTTTATCAGTAAAAGGAAAATGTTCAACAAAATTAGTTGCTTTCAAATCCTGTTCTGAGGCACCACAGGCTCCAAAGGTTGGGCTTCAGTTTTTCGTTCTTGCTATAACCTGGGCAGTTGCACTGTGTCTCTTAGGGCGTTTAGGGCTTAGAATCCCATGGAAAACTCTGGAACTTTTACAGTTTCTTTCTTTTCTTTTTTTTTTAAAATGAGTTCACTGTTTGGAATTCTATGACGTCTTGGTAGTGCTTTGTAATAGATAAATGCTAGAGATACAAGGTAGAGAAATAGGTCAGATCAATGAAGGACTAGCTCAGAGAACCTTATCTACATTTGCCGTTTATTACCTTACCAAATGTGTAGTTTAGCTAGGCTTATCTATTTTGCCTGTCATTTCCATCTAAGGTTTTATGCTTTTCCTTTCTTTTGATATTTCTCTGCTTTCTTCTTTTTCTTTTTGTTTGCCTTTAAATATATCTATTAGTATATGGTTATTTGGCAGAATGAAATTGATGGATTGGTTTGAAGGACAGGCTCTACAAAACTCTATAATGAAAAATATATTTATATTTTATAATAGATATTTATAATAGATATTAATAATGACATACATATTAATATATTTAATGACAAAATATATTAATAATAAATATATGTACATTTACAAATCTGTGGTTATGTGAAGCTCGTACAATTGCCTTGATCTCGAGCAATGGTTCTCAAACTTTACTGTGCATCAGACTCACTTGGAGGGTCTGTTAGATTGTAGGGCCCAACTTCTTGCTCTCTGAGTAACTGTGTCTGGGGTGGGGCCCAAGAATTTGCATCTCTAGCAAGTTCTTAGGTGATACTGATGCTGTGTTACGCCCACACTTTGAGAACCACTGACATAGAACCACTGACATAGAACAAACAAATGGAGATAATTTTTCCTAGTTTTGACTTTTTACATCTGGCATGCCAACACTACCTGAACTCTTAAAGAGATTAGTAAATCAGTTATGAAAGGCATGGTTAAAAATATACATGTATGGTTGCACACCTTGTGAATATAGTTAAAACCACTGAATTGTAAACTTTAAAATGGTGACTTTTATACGTGAGTCATATGTCAATTTTTAAAATACATGTAAAATTTTTTTACCTTTTCCCACTTGTGAAAATATTTCATTAATTCATCCTATTCCCACTCCTATCCCTATCCCAAAACCCCACTGCTGAAAAGTTGACCTAAATAAACAACAAAAGGAAGAGATTAGGAACACTTATTTAGTTTCCACATCCAATGGGAAAGGAGAGAAAGAAGGGAATTTCCAATGGGCAATGTTGCAGTCAGCAATTTTGGAATCAGTTATGTGTGGGAAGAGGGGGTTGTAGAAGGTTAGCATGTACCTAAAAATATGATTTGGGAAGTAGATCCAAATTTCTCTACAAACTTAACATGTATCCTGGCGAGTTAACTGTGAAAGTTAATTAGCTTTATGCATCTTAATGCTCTTGTTATATGAAGCCTCTCAGACTACTGCAGTGCAATAGATTTAGTAGAGCAATTCGGAATTACTTGGCCAAACCAGATTGCTTTGGCTAAACCGAGGAGAGGAGGGTCCTGTAAAATGCTATTCATTTGCATTTGCATTTGGCCAGCAGCCTCCTTTTTTCCCAAATGGAGTAAGAACTCTTGTTCCCACATGCATGTTTCTGGTAGGAAGATGAGTGTGGGCTGTTATTCAAAGATGGGCATAGGGGACATCCAGCTGGGAGCCTCAACTCAGGAAACTAATGCTCTGCTTTTGTCTCTGTAATGAACCCTGGCCCTGTCCTGTGACTGCACTGGGCTATTTTAGCCATTTTTAATGATTCTCATTCTGCCTAAAGACCTTGGTCTATTTGTTCATTTTGATTTTGTGGCTTAAAAAAAAAAATCTTAG